TTTTTGCTGAGGAAGACTGGCCCTGGGCTAACATCCGTGCCCATCTTCCTCCACTTTATATGGGATGCTGCCACAGCACGGCTTGACAAGCGGTGCGTCAGTGCGCACCCGGGATCCGAACCCCAGGCCGCTGCAGTGGAGCGCTCGCATTTAACCGCTACACCACTGGGCCGGCCTAATAAGAGCAATTTTAAACCCAGGATTCCCAAAACACAACAGCCTTAGTAAGACTGCTGAACAAACAGAAGGTGAACAATGAGAGGAGGTAACGAAATTTGCCTAACTAGGTTGTGGCTCTGAATAGAGGAGAGAAAAGTCTCTATTAAGGATCAGTAACTATGGGCCGGCCCGTGGCTTAGCGGTTGAGTGCGCATACTCCCCTACTGGTGGCCCGGGTTCGGATCCCGGGCGCGCACCAACGCACCGCTTGTCCGGCCATGCTGAGGCCGCATCCCACGTACAGCAACTAGAAGGATGTGCAGCTATGACATACAACTACCTACTGGGGCTTTGGGGGAAAAATAAATAAATAAAATTATATAAAAAAAAAAAACAAACAAAAAAACGGGGCCGGCCCGGTGGCGCAAGTGGTTAAGTGCGCGCGCTCCGCTGCGGCGGCCCGGGGTTCGCTGGTTCGGATCCCGGGCGCACACCGACGCACTGCTTGGCAAGCCATGCTGTGGCGGCGTCCCATATAAAGTGGAGGAAGATGGGCACAGATGTTAGCCCAGGGCCGTCTTCCTCAGCAAAAGAAGAGGATTGGCGGATGTTAGCACAGGGCTGATCTCTTCACAAAAAAAAAACAAAAAAAACAAAAAAAAAAAGGATCAGTAACTAGAGTTTGGCCTTTACATGGGTTTAAGTCCAGAATCTACATTTATGTTTTTTTATAAATTCACATTTATGATTTTAAAAAGCTCAAGCCAAAAATTCAATTTAAAATTATCCCAGTCTGTAGTATCCCTTTGCACCTGCTGGAAGCATATATAAATACTGTCAGAAGAACACACCAGAAAACTTAATGTTAAAACACACACATATACACACACACACACACAAACACACAAGAGGAAGGCAGCAAGCCATCATGAGTGAGAGTTGGTAGAAACAACAAATAGCAAAAAATAGATTTTAGATATATTTTTAGACACAATAGAAAAATAAATATATTTAACATGTTTAAAGATATGTTAAAAGGGGAATTGGACTATGACTACCTAAAATATAAAAGATTATTTTAAAATGATGAGGCATACTGAAGAAAAAAGAATCAAATAGAACAAATGAAAAATATATAATCATTGAAGTGAAAACCTCAATGAACATATTAAACAATACATTAGAAAGAAGACAGATAAGAAATTACCCAGAGTGCAGCACAGAGGAGAAAGAAATGGAAAATTTAAGCTAAGAAACGTGGAGGAGGGCCGGCCCTGTGGCTTAGCGGTTAAGTGTGTGCGCTCCGCTACTGGCGGCCCGGGTTCGGATCCCGGGCATGTACCGACGCACCGCTTCTCCGGCCAGGCTGAGGCTGCGTCCTACATACACCAACTAGAAGGATGTGCAACTATGACATACAACTATCTACTGGGGCTTTGGGGAAAAAATAAATAAATAAAATTAAAAAAAAAAAGAACACTTTAAAAAAAAAAGAAACGTGGAGGATAGAGTGAAGTCTAACACACCTAAATGGGATTCAAGGCCCGGCCCCGTGGCTTAGCGGTTAAGTGTGCACGCTCCACTACTGGCGGCCCGGGGTTCAGATCCCGGGCGCACACCGACGCACGGTTTCTCCGGCAATGCTGAGGCCACTTCCCACATACAGCAACTAGAAGGATGTGCAACTATGACGTACAACTATCTACTGGAGCTTTGGGAAAAAAAAAAGGAGGAGGATTGGCAATAGATGTTAGCTCAGATCCGGTCTTCCTCAGCAAAAAGAGGAGGATTAGCATGGATGTTAGCTCAGAGCTGATCTTCCTCACAAAAATAAATAAATAAATAAATAAATAAATGGAATTCAAGGAGAGACTACAGAGAATGGAAGATAGGCAATAATCAAAGAAACAACAGATGACAATTTTCCATATAGATAAAAAACACTAAATTTATGAATCAGGAAGGTCAGCAAATCCCAAGAAATTGAAGGCCAGAGAAATCATCAGGAAACTGCAGAAAGACAAAAAGACCTTAAAATGAGCCAGACAGAAAAGACAGAGTACCTAGAGAGAAATAACAATTAACACTAACAGATGACTTCTCTATAGCCAACAAAAGAAGCCAAGAAATAAAATATCTTCAAAGAACTAAGACAAAATAACTGGCAATATAGAATTGTATGACTAGAGAAACCATGAAGACAAAATAATGATATTTTAGATAAACCAAAATAGAGAATTTACAGTCAACAGACACTTTCAATAGAATTTCTAAAGAATGAACTCAGGAAGATATTTATCCTAGAAGGAAGTTCTGAGAAAACAAGGAAGAATGGGTAAGCAAAGAAAATGGTAAACACATAGTAAATAAAATGATAAATACAATGAGTATAAAACAAGAAATGTCTTTATCATGGTGTTAAAAAAAAAAAAACAAGAGACAACATTAACACACAAGTGGCATTTAAGTCATAATGGGATGATCCAAATTCTTTTTTTTTTTTTTTGTGAGGAAGATCAGCCCTGAGTTAACATCCAATGCCAATCCTCCTTTTTTTTGCTGAGGAAGGCTAGCCCTGAGCTAACATCCGTGCCGATCTTCCTCCACTTTATGTGGGATGCTGCCACAGCATGGCCTGACAGGCGCTGCGTCGGTGCGAGCCCGGGATCTGAACCCCAGCCGCCAACAGCCGAGCACGAGCACCAGCACGCATGCACATGCGCTTAACCGCTATGCCATGGGGCCGGCCCCAGGGATGATCCAAATTCTAAGGGTATTGTATTAATTGGGAGAAGTGTGATGAGGCTGATTAAATTTAGTCTTTGTTAAGTAATATGTTGAAATTTCCAGGGCAACTGCTACAAGAATAGAGACAGAGAATATAAATTCCAAACCAGTAGAGATGAAAAACAGAATGAAACAAGCAAACAAACAAAAGTCAATAAAGCAATCTAAGAAATGACAAAGAAAGGAGAAAATAAAAGAAACTACACTGAATCCAGAGTCTTCATTTGTCATTACTACGCTATTATAATTTTACTTTCTTCAGCACCAATCTAAAAATGCTCTGATGAAAGTCAAGTCAGAAAGGTTGATAAGGAGACCCACATTAAAAGATGCTGCTGGGGCCGGCCCCGTGGCTTAGCGGTTAAGTGCGCGCGCTCTGCTGTTGGCGGCCCGGGTTCGGATCCCGGGCGAGCACCGACACACCGCTTCTCCGGCCATGCTGAGGCCGCGTCCCACATACAGCAACTAGAAGGATGTGCAACTACGACATACAACTATCTACTGGGGCTTTGGGGGAAAAATAAATAAATAAAATCTTTAAAAAAAAAAAAAAGATGCTGCTCAGTGTTTGGCAAACACTTTCTTTGGGACTAAGGCATTTTTCTAAGGGAAAGAAGCAGCAACTATCAGGTGAAAAAACAGAATGGATCAAAGGTAACAAAAGAGAGAACCTGAATATCAACGTCCCATAAAGGGTCGTCAACCCTAGAAATGGAAAAGACTCCAAAGCCAAACACTGAGAAGCCTTGATCTACTCCCCAAAATTCAGGAAGTCTCCCTAATAACACCAGCTTTTAAACAGTCCCATTGTATTATACATTCACATCTTTTTATATACGAAGAATATAAGGCTACCTAAGAACCTGCTGAGAAAATGGTGACCTCTGCAGAGAACCAGGAGACTGTTAGTAGTGGGTGAGGAGGAGATTCACGTTTCCTTTTACGTTTTTTCCTCTTAATTTTTTTTTATGATTTTTATCTGTTTTTTCTTTAACATCTTTATTGGGATATAATTCACATACCATACAATTCACCCATTTAACGTGTATACCATCTTTTTATTACATATGCAAATTATCTATTTTTAAAAACCCTCTACATACAAAAAGCATTCTTTTTAAGGAAGAAAATACAGCCTGAAACAGTGGTTTTTTGACCTGTGGAGACATAACCCTCTACAGAGCCATAGACTCATCTTATCCAGTCTTTGAATTTACATGTTAACCAACCACTGTCTAGAATAGATAGTAGAAATAAAACATTTCATATATATATTTACTACTTTTCAAATTAGTATAATTTATTATAATTAAGAAAACACAAATTTTTTTTTTTTTTTTGTGAGGGAGATCAGCCCTGAGCTAACATCCACGCCAATCCTTCTCTTTTTGCTGAGGAAGATTGGCCCTGAGCTAACATCCGTGCTGAGCTTCCTCCACTTTATGTGGGACACCGCCACAGCATGGCCTGACAAGCATGCATTGGTGCGCGCCTGGGATCCGAACCTGGGCAGCCAGCAGCGGAGCACACGCCCTTAACCACTACGCCATGGGGCCGGCACCCAGTACAAAAATTTTTAAACAGGAAAAATACATCATCACCTATCCAAGTTTCTATTTACACGCCACCATTTACCTCCTTTAACCAGGCCACATAAGATCCAAACTTCAGTGTTTGGGTCCAGGACCAATTCCTATTTTATCTAAATCAACAAAATGTTAAGAGTTAATCCTACTGTGCAGGGGCGGGCCCCGTGGCTTAGCAGATAAGTGCGCGCGCTCCACTACTGGCGGCCAGGGTTCGGATCCCGGGCGTGCACCGAC